GATCTTTTAAACTTATAGTATAAATTATAACCCCTAACACCTACCTACATCTCTTATTCTTATGGTAGACCTGTTAATCTCTGATATCTCTTACGCTAAACCCAGCCGTAGACTGAGCACTTTTCTTTTCTGCAACCAAGGGTTGCAGGAAAGAAAATCATTTGATTACCCCCTCAATACAATCAGTGTTGATGGGGAAATCTTTCTCGTAGAGCCATTGTGTGCTCCTGGTGGGGTGTGGGAGGAACCATCCCCCGCTGGGAGAATGCAGTGATTACTGCTAGCGGCTATAATAGCCGCTAACAATAATTGCATGTAAAATCAGACTGGTTGTACCCAAATTGATGAACTTTGGTACATTCAGCCTGCCCATCGGGGCGTATTTACCACAAGGCAAACAAGGTATTTGCCTAGGGTGGCATTTTTTAGGGGGGGATGCATTTTTCATGGAGACAGCGTCATTCCCCAAAAGAAGAGATGGAAGAAGGGAGACATGCAGCATGGGGATCAGGTGGGATATGAGAGAGGCTGCTTGATGGTGTATGCAGAGCCTGACTCTGGGTGAAGGTGAGCGTCTTCTCTTTTGTCGGGGTGGGGAGGGGTTGCCAGTGTATGGGGGGGCAGTGATAGTGGAAGACTCTCTCGGGTGGGGTGTTGTTGGTCAATGTCAGGCTCTCTTCGTAGGGGAGGGGGGTGTTGTTCGGTTTCAGGGTCTCTCTGTGGGGGAATGATTTTTGTGTTGCCTAGGACAGCATGAAACCTAAATACACCACTGCTGCCTATATATGGTTCGAATTTCAGCTGGTCCTTGCTGAATTGGCTGAGATTCGAGCTGTCTATGGCCAGCTTTATAGTATGAGTTATACCTACTTAAATTCTGATAACTTATCCCATAAGAGTGAAAAATATCACCCTCGATAGCTACATAAATTCTGATATCTCTTCCTCTAATAGTAGGGTTTATAACTTATACCTACATAAATTCTGATAATTTATCTCATAAGAGAGAAAGATATCACCCTCGATACCTGCATAAATTCTGATATCTCTTCCTCTAATAGGGTTTATAACTTATACCTACATAAATTCTGATAACTTATCTCATAAGAGAGAAAGATATCACCCTCGATACCTGCATAAAATCTGATATCTTTTACTCATACCTCGTGTATTTTTATGCTGCATATAAATATATTACTGTACAGGACTATATTTAAAGTTAAAAGCAAAAGGTCCTCATTAGCTACTAATTTCAATAACTTTCAAGTCACTGGGAAGTCAGTGTTTACAGACAGAAGTCTCAGGATATGAATAAAAGCAGTGAGGTCACTCTTTAATCCTCCCACAACATATCACTGAGCTCACTGACCTTATGAACAGCGTTTAAAAAGCTGACTCACACGATTGCTGGCAACCACTTTTTCCCTCCAGAGTTTATTTATTGCAAGGCACTATATTATTTAATATAAATGATAAAAGAAAAAGTGTTTTTTTAACACTTAGGGCATATTTATAAAGTGGTGAATGTAATACTTAGCAAATATTCACTGCAGGTGGATCAATTGAAAATATACGCACAGGAAGATACCCCTGCTAAAATAAATACTGTATATCTTATGGTCTCTCCTGGCGCTCATTTACACTTGCATTAGCCCTCTGAACAGGGATGAGGGGTGGATTGCTTTTCAGGGGGAATTTGACAGGTGGTGAGGAGGAGATATAAGCAATATAAATCTGTTTTTCTGGGGGTTATAGCTACCCGTGAGAGTATATCAAAGAATGCGGATAGAGCAGGGAATAGTTAAATCCCTGCTACATTTTCTGACATCTGTGTCCCAGTTTGTGATATTTCACTTTACTTCCTGTCCTTTAGGCAAAACAGAGTATGAGAATAAAATGATCCAAAGTGAAAATCTCCTCTCAGCCAGTCGTCACTGAAACATTTCTCCCAAAGAGAAGATTTTACCTCCTATTTTTGTTCTGGTGATGACTATCCAAAACTAAGAGCAAAAATTGGAATTTAGATAAAATCACTTAGAGCCACATTTACAGAATCAAGTGATATGAGTTCCATTTTATATATATATATATATATATATAAAACCACTTCAATACCAGGCACTTTTACCCCCTTCCCACCCAGGCCAATTTTCAGCTTTCAGCGCTGTCGCACTTTGAATGACAATTGCGCGGTCATGCAACGCTGTACCCATATGAAATTTTTATCATTTTTTTCACACATTCATACATACACTTACTAGGGCCAATTTATACAGGATCCAGTTAACCTACCAGTATGTCTTTGGAGTGTGAGAGGAAACCGGAGTACCTGGAGGAAATCTACGCAGGCACAGGGAGAACAGGCAAACTCCAGACACGTGGTACCATGGTTGGGATTCGAACCAAGGACCCTAGTGCTGTTAAGCATGCAGTGGAGGAGTACTTATAGCTACTCTAAAACAGAAAGGGGTTTATTTACTAAAGTTGGAGAGTGCAAAATGAGGCTCACTACTGCACAGAAACCAATCAGCTTCTAACCTCAGTTTGTTCAATTAAGCTTTGGCAATAAAACCTGGAAGCCAATTGTTTTCTATGCAGAAGTGAGCCTGATTTTGCACTCTCCAGTTTTAGTAAATAAACTCCTCGGTGTATTACTGGCCAGATCACCAATTGAACATAAAGGGAAAAGAAAGGCTTGAAAAGAATGCAGTCACTGTGTCTAAAGATTGGTAAGCTGCAATATTATTATTATTATTATACAGTATTTATAAAGCGCCAACAGTTCGCTCACCGCTGTACATTACAAAGAGAGACAGAACATGCGACAGTACGATAACAATACAATGTGATACATGAGGGGTTCGAGGGCCCTGCTTTTTCGAGCTTACAATCCAGGATGGAGGGAGGTTCAGCTTGGGCCAGTGTAACTATGCATATGCCATACCTGTGGGATCCCTCAAGAAGCTGGAAATCACTGTATTAGAAACCACAACTACAGTGATCTCCACTAGCTTCTGTCTCCTGTGCCAAGCAACTGCCCTGTTGTATTTTGAACACAGGGGGTCAGCCTCTGAGCCTGAGTGCCTTTCAGGAATTGCTTTCCATATTCTCAGCAAATGCAAAACGTTCCCTGATTGCATGAGGTGTAGAGGCAGAGCAGTGATGTCACACTCTACACCTTGTTCAATCAGAGAATGCTTTGCATTCATTGGAAAATGCTAAACATTCTCTGAATGGTGCCCCTGCCCTGTGGCTAACCTCCAGTGTTCACAATGCAGCAGGGCAGGTACAATACACAGGACCCAGAAAGCATGTGGAGATTGCTGGAGTAGGGTCAGGGGCGGACTGACAATTCATGGCAATAGGGGATCATGGGGCCCCTGTGTCCTTGCCCAAACTCAAAAAAGCCTATGAAAAAGGTACCAGGGGCATCTCATGGGGCCCCCTACTGACCCCCAGGGCCCTCGGGCAGTGCCAGAGTTTCCAAATGGTCAGTCTGCCCCTGAGTAGGGTGCTTACTACACAGTGACTTCCACCTTTTAGAGTGATCCCACGGGTATGGTATATACACAGTTAAATTGATCCAAGCTGGACCAAAGTATTTATGTAAAAACACCCATACCTGCAACCATGGCCGGATCTAGGGGGGTGCTGGGGTGGGCTGTGCCTCCCCAGATTTCAGTTGTGCCCCACCAAAGCAAACAGCCCCCCCTCCTGCCTCCACCCAAATGCACTGTGCTCAGCCGCTAACAACTTCTTCCAGGAACATGACAAGGAAGGTGCACTGCATAGAGGCAGGGTCCCATTGAGAGCTCCACCAGCTTTCATCTCCTTGTAAAAGAAGACACAGTGCGGAATTAAAGGAAATCTTCTCCCCTGATCACAGAACTTTCTCTGAACACAGTCTGATTTACTGCCAGGGTGATGGTATATTTCCACCTCCACTCCAGGGAGGCTCTGGGGACCCTGAGGTAAGGTTGATGAACCCTAGGGACCCTTATGTTGGGGAGGGTGACTCTGGGGACCCAGATGTAAGGAGGATCACTCTGGGGGGATTACTCTGAGGACCCTGATGTGAGAGATTTATCTGGGGACCCTGACATAAGGGGAGTGACTCTAGGGAATTTAATATTAGGGGGGTGACACTAGGGACCCAAATATTAGGGGGGCTTTGATGACACTGAGTAGGGCTGAGGAACCCCAGGGACCCTGATGTTAGGGGGATTATTTTGAGGACCCTGATATGTGGGGGATTATTCTGGGGACCCTAATGTAAGGGGTATTACTCTGGAGATCCTGATGTAAGCAGTGGGGGAAGGGGGGCTCTGGGGACCCTGAGGTAAAGATGAGGAACCCCAGGGACCTTGATGTTAGGTGGGTGACTCTGGGGACCCTCATGTTAGGTAGGGGGTGACCGTGGGGACCCTGATGTAAGGGGGACTACGCTCTGAACCCTGATATAAGGGGATTACTCTGGTGATCCTGAGGTTGGGGGGGGGGGCTCTTGAGAACTTGAGAAATTGGGGGAGGCGGAATTCTAATGGTGATTCTTGATGTAAGGGGGGAATCCGATGTGAACAGTTGGGCTCAACCTGATGGTGTACTCTATATGTTGTATTGTATGTTACTCCTTGCATTCTATACATTATGTTTTACATTTACAACAAGCTCCTCACACTTCTAGGCAAAATCAGTGCTTTGTGTCATCAACTACTGATCCCTGAACTCTGAAGTCACTTACACATGACCCCTGAACTCTCCCCTATAAACTGCTGACCCCCTGTACATTGCCCTGCTGACCTCTCATACTCTGCCCCACTGACATTTTCTACTGCACCCCCACATAAGACAGGCTAGATCCGGCCGTTTCTGCAACTCATATTTAAGCTTACTTGGTCTTCAGGCCTATTAGAGCCATCATGCCAATGTGCATTTTATTTCCATAAAATAATGAACTACAAAAAAAAAAAATATCAAGTCATAAAAGCACTTTAACACACCTTTGCTTCCACGGTATAAGCTGTCCAAAGCGGCATCAAGATATTCTTGCTGTATCCACTCACATATCCATGCTGGTGAAGGATGCAGTATGAACTGTTTTCATATACATTCTTGGGTCTGCCATAGGGCAAGTTCTTTTCATTTGACTGAGTTTCTAATAGACAATTTTAGGTAAGATTATAACCAGTACAGGGAGGCATCTATTCCTATGTTCTGTGTAAGACACAAGAATTACTTACTGCTGTTCTCATCAAGATTTAACCTTGCATTTAGAGCTGATTCATCCACCTGAAAATACATGAATGGTAAATTGCTATTTAAGACCTGGTAATATGGAAAGTTTTGAATTATATCTACAGTCAAAATAATTTTTTTGGATGGGTAAAATAACAAATGGTGAGAGAAACTCTCTCCAAAGTGAGAGTAAATACCCTCTCAGATAACCATCACTGGATTGTATGTCCACATTGTGAGGCTTCCCTTTATCTCCTCATCTGAAGACAAATATGGAATTTCCATCACCATTTTTGTCCAGTGACAATGATCACCAGGATAAATGAAAAAAGTGAATTTCCCCAGTGGGGACACGACTAGCAATAAAAGCTTAACAGATGTTTAACCTTTCTCCACTGTATCCAAAACTAAAAAAAAATGGTGGAGAAACTAAGCGCCTTCTCTTATCATCCAAGGATAAATTAGTCTAAATAGACTGTCCTTACAAAAATCATGTTTCCACTAAAAAATTTAAAATTCTTTATCAACCATATAGTGTACCAACGTTTAAAATGAAGTTGTTAGCTGCCGCTTAAAGTGCAAAATCACTTGTGATCATATATGTAAAGTAGGATATGACGCTTCACATGTATACCCAAACAAACGACAGTAATTTGACTACAATACAAAAAAATAAACGTAATGTAAGATATAAATCAGCAAGTTCAAAAAATCCCACACGACAATTGTGGATCAAGCGCCTGATAGATTGCTTCATGAAAATCCTCTTTGTGCTCCTCCACTGTACGCCAATATATTGCACTCACCAACCATCCATGACCCCTTATTTAAAAGAAGATCTAATGCATGTTTTGATGTTGGTTAAATGCTCTCCCACTCTTTTAGATTACTTTCTAGTTCTTTGTCCTACATAATATAAGCTGCACGGGCAAGTTAGCAAATAGGTGACATATCTACTGTCACATGTTAGTGTGCCATAATATGGTAGCCTTTGAAGTAGTACCCAATAGGAAAATTGGGCACAGTGTAAAAGACCCAGGGAAAATGGCGGACATGAGCTTCCTGAGGATGCCAGATTAGCGAAACATGTAGAGGCAGAGTGTTTTGTCCAGCCACATCCGGGTCTGTTGACGTCACATTCGTTCCCGGTTAATGGAACACACGCCGGCTCTAGTGCATGAGCGGCGGTACCAGTAAAGAGCTGAGTGTATTAGTGCCGAGGATTGGGTACCAACTAATGTGAGTGTATTCTTGTTGTTTTTATCCATTTTACAATAAATTTACTAAACTAAGAAATGTATTTTGATTTATGATGACCCTGAACTGCAGAATTAAATTGGTAGAGTGTTGAGAGGAGATCCACTGAAACTGTAAAACCTTGGGGGCACAAAGTGCATTAGACCTTCTTTTAAATAAGGAAGTCATGGATGGTTGGTGAGTGCAATATATTGGCATACGATGGTGGAGCACAAAGAGGATTTCCATGAAGCAATCTATTGGGCACTAGAAGACTATGTACTGTTTTTGATCCACGATTGTGGTGTGGGACTTTTTTGGACTTGCTGATTTATAGCTAACACTACGTTTTTATTTTTTGTATTGTAGCCAAATTACTGTTTTGTTTGAGTATGCATGTGAAATGCCATATCTTACTTTACATATATAAAACTAAAAAAAGTTTTGGCTTTAGGTATACTATAAGCAATACATTTGATAAGAAATTTCAGTACTTTAGAGGCAGAACCATTTGTATAAACAGTGAAAGTAGTCATTTGTATAGAAACAACATAGACATGATACAACATCCAGACTATAGTAAGTTACATGCTGGTTTCAGAAACAGTGGAAAGCTAGAAAGGGAAATAACTGGATGAGTGGACTGGAGAGGCATGGCGGCAATTTCATAATCCCCACCTCATCCAATGAGAGAAAGCTTTGCACTCATTGAGAAAATGCAACGAGTTCTGTGAATGGAGCCCATGCCAAGTGGTCAGCCTCCTTCAATTCACCATCATTGCATGATTTCTTGCTAAAACTATCACTTTTCAGCTTGCTCCCAAAACTACCTGATAGCTGATAACTGAATTTCTTTGACGTGTCTAGGAGACTAAGAGACATTTTATGTGTGGTGATAAATAATGGCTAGTGGAAAAAAATGCATGCAAATTAAGGCTTTCAATAAATAAATGTTAATTACCTGCCCCCTGGATCCTGTCCCCTCACAACTACTACGGTCACCCTCTTCTTCCATCCTATGCTCCCTCACTCACATCTTCAATCTTTCCCTCTCTACTGGTGCCTTCCCCTCCCCTCTAAAGCATGCGCACATCGCTCTCATACTTAAAAAGCCCTCCCTGGACCCCACCAACCTGAACAACTTAAGACCAATCTCCCTGCTGCCATTTACCTCTAAACTCCTAGAATGCTTAGTCTATAATCGCCTGAGCTCCTACCTCACTGACAACAACCTTCTTGACCCTTTACAGTCTGTCTTTCACTCACTACACTCCACTGAAACTGCCCTACTAAAACTCACCAACGACCTGCTAATCGCCAAAGCTAATGGCCACTATTCAGTGCTCCTACTCCTCGACCCCTCTGCGGCTTTCGACATGGTTGACCACCCCCTCCTCCTCAAAAAACTACACTCTTTTGGCCTCAGAGACTCTGCTCTCTCCTGGCTCTCTTCCTATCTATCACAGCGCTCCTTCAGTGTTACCTATAACGCTGCCACCTCCTCTTCACTCCCCCTCCCTGTTGGGTCCCTCAAGGTTCTGTCCTCGGGCCCCTTCTCTTCTCCATCTACACCTCCTCCCTTGGCCAACTGATACACTCTCACGGCTTCAACTACCATCTCTATGCCGATGACACGCAAATCTATCTCTCCACCCCTCACCTCACCCCTTCAGTCTCCGCCCGTATCGCAAGCCTACTAAGCGACATATCGGATTGGATGTCACTCCACTTCCTCAAATTAAATCTTTCCAAAACTGAGCTCCTAGTTTTCCCCCCCAGCCCGCGCCCCCCCCCCCGATTTCTCCATCAAGACCAACAACACCACCATCAGTCCCTCCCCTCAAGCCAGAGTACTAGGTGTCATCCTAGACTCCAATCTGTCCTTCCAGCCCCAGGTCCATTTGCTGACAAACTCATGTAGACTTCACCTCCGCAACATCTCCAAAATACGTCCATTCCTAACCCCGGGAACCACTAAGCAACTCATTCACTCCCTCATGCCTCAACTACTGTAACTCCCTCCTCATCGGCTTACCTCACCGCAGGCTATCCCCGGTTCAGTCTATTTTGAATGCTACGGCCAGACTTATCCACCTTACTAACCGCTCTGTATCCGCCACCCCTCTCTGCCAATTCCTCCACTGGCTTCCGATTGCCCAACGGATAAAATTCAAAATACTAACATTGACGTATAAAGCTGTTCATAATACTGCCCCATACTACATCACCGATCTGGTATCCAAATACCACCCAAAACGTACTCTCCGCTCCTCACAAGACCTCCTACTTTCTATTTCCCTGGTCTTTTCCTCCCATGCCTGTCTCCAGGACTTCTCCAGGGTTTCCCCCATCCTCTGGAACTCCCTACCCCAATCCATCAGACTATCACCTACTCTCCTCACCGTTAGGCGCACTATGAAAACCTATCTCTTCATGGAAGCCTACCTCGCCCTCAGCTCATTACTGAACTCTTTCACTCTTCTTACCACTCCATCCCCCACAGCTATTTCCTTCTGTACCACTATCCCCTTCCTTCTAGATTGTAAGCTCTAAGGAGCAGGGCCCTCGAACCCCTCGTGTATTGAATCATATTTTTACTGTACTGTCTCATACACTGTCTCCCATTATAATGTTATATTGTAAAGCGCTGAGCAAACTGTTGGCGCTATATAAATCCTCTATAATAATAATAATAACTTATATGAGTCGTAACTATCCAGCTAAATTTGATAAAATATGGGCTGGGTGGGTGGAGGTTCAGGGCCTAAAGGTCTAATGTTTGGGTTTTTATCTTGCGGGTATGTCTAGTTGTATTGTTTATCGGATTGGCTATTGTTTATGTTTATGGATTGATTTTCCTCTTTGCCCCCTCCTTTCCCTTCCCCTTTCCTTCCCTTCTTTTCTCCCCTTTCCCCCCTCCCCCCCCCCCCCCACATCTTATTTGGTGGGTGATGACTATTTACAGTGTAATATACCTGTTTCTCCCGCTCTGACTCACGATGGCCCGTTGACTCCGTGGGATTTATAGCATTGAAATCTCATGTGTATTGTATATCTACTGACTGCCGTAAGCTTGCTAGTTCTCATATACCTTGATTTGTTATACTTTTGTACGATTTCAATAAATGCAACTGTTAAAAAAAAATAGCCAATAATAAGGCTTACCTGTAGGCATTGTAAATATCTCCTAAACGTGCACCGTTTAGGAGATATGTACTTGCAAAATACACCTGCACATTCGCTCTGAAGGAACGGCATGTCCATGCCATTCCTTCAGAGCTGTGTGTCGTAAAAAGTGACTTCTGTGCACCTGCACAGGAGTGAAGTCATTGCAGCTTGGCCATTCAAGCTGCCAGAGTTCGGGAACCCAGAAGAAGGACCTGGTGAAGATGGAAGCCGTGTCAGCAGTGATGGATGGAAGCCCACTGGAGGGCTTTGTTTTAAAGTACGTTTCACATAATGTGCTAGTATGTGATGCATACTGCCACATAATACCATTTTCTTGCAGGTTTTTCTTTTTCTTTTAAAAGGTCACGGTATACTATAGCTTTACAATAAGGATTGCACAGCAGTGATATATTTTTTTAAACTGAAAATTTTGATCCAAAAACAGATAAAATTGCAAATGCACATTGCAATATAAAATAACTCATATAACTTTTGCGAATTAATGATTTTGCATTTTAAGGCTATGTTGGGAAAATATCATATTTGGATTTACGTTTTTATTTACCCATACCCACCAGATGATCGCATGAACAGCTTAAATTAGAAGATGGCGCATTAAAGGTACACGTTGAAGGGCTTGATTTCTCTTGCACATAAGTTGGATTATAAAATGGCTCCATTAGTAAATGGTTTAGGCTGCCATGGGTCCCATTGTTAGGAGCTGGGTGGATTTGTAATAGATCTGTTAAAAGATAAGTTACTGTTATTAATAGTTATTCAAACACAAAGGGTGCTATAACCCCATATTTTCCTAAATTTCATAGGTGGTTGTCTACCATAAACATGAGGGAAGAAAATGATGTTTCTTCATTTCTGGGGTTGAAAACTGCTTGAAAGTTCTTGAAACTACAACCAGCTGCATGTATAGCCAGGATCTTTGTAAACATTTGCACAACATGTGATAGTTATGTGTATTACATCAATACACTTAGTGTTAATTAATCACAAAGAATGGTACGGCTAACAGCTAATAATCATGACTGTAGACCTTAAGTCGCCCATACAAGATTCATTTTTATTTAACCAGTAGGTTAAACAAAAAAAAAAAAAGAGCCGAATCCCCCATCCACACATTTGATGTAGATGGAAGAATCCTCCCACTGTGCAATTGTATTCTGCCGGTGGGGAGCCTTCCCAGGCAGCAGAATACAATGATCAGTGTTGCTAGCTATAGTCGGCAGCACTGATCATTTGGGAAAAAAACAACAGGCTGGCTGTACACAAGTCAATTGATAGATTGACTTTTATTCAACCAGCTATCCAATATATGAATATCTGCTGGTTAAGCAGGGACCAGACGATATTTGATCCATGTATGGCTGGTTTTAGAGCTACTCTTTTATGAATATAACAAGTGAAAGCCTTATCTGCAGCACCCATGAGTTACCAGATCGTTTTTGCATGCTCCAATGCAACTTAATCAGGATCATGTATTAACTGTTCATATTTTTTCAGACCAAAATGCTAGCCACACCAAGTAGGTCTAAATTTTACAAGATATCCATTTGTGGTTACTACCCAAGTGCCTGCCATTCAACATGACAGACGCAACACAGAAAATGCAGTGTGTGCACACTCCTAGGTAGCAGAATAAACCTGACAAATCCCTTTATGTTTGTGATATATGATAAGAACGGTAGCAAAAAACTGGTGCATAGTACACACATAATATTGTTAGTTTACCGTAGTAGAATACTGTACATGGCACGTGCATTGCAAAGTTAACTTTCTAAGCATTCAGTTTAAATAAATTCACAATAATGTAGATAAAGAAGTGAAACCAGATTTTTAGGAAGAGCATTAATAATCTAAATGAAACATTACTATACTTCAGAGGCTAAATACAATACTTAGAACTTACCACACATCAAATTATAAAGTTCTATATTATCAAAAGGTTCAACTTCCACTTCCTTTTTAAATCCTGGGCCATGTCCTATGAAGATTGCCTAAAATACAAAAAAGGGTCTAATTGATGCTTAGTTTTATTTATACATTTAAACAAGATCTTTAAAACATTAAAGGCCAATTTATAACCACAACTGTGCAGTAACATGTTTGTTACCCATGACAATGTATGTTACGTATGTTGTTGTGCTATGATGCTATTCATTATAAATAGCACCAAATGCACTTCCAAATGCACCTGCATTGTAGCAAACTGCAATGTGGATTAATGCATTATCGTGTGTTTTTGATGTGCTGAACTAAAAAAAGGCAGATCTGATGTTTAGTCCATTGTAGTGCATTAGGCAGCCCATTAAGATCGGTGTAAAGATTAATGGTGTTAATGATCGGTGTAAAGATAGTTATTACCTATGTGTTAAATGCACTGCAATGGTACGAATAACTTTAATAAATTCCTTAATTATTTGGAACCACAGATGTTATCAGAAGGGAAGAATACAGAATGAAGACAAGTTACAAATGAGAGACCAATTCAGATCAGTGCTTTTCAAAATCACTGATAATAGCTGAAACCAGGGGCGGACTGACAACTCATGGGGCCCCCGGGCAATAGGGGATCATGGGGCCCCTGTGTCCTTGCCCAAACTCAAAAAAGCCTATGAAAAAGGTACCAGGGGCATCTCATGGGGCCCCCTACTGACCCCGGGCCCTCGGGCAGTGCCCGAGTTTCCAAATGGTCAGTCCGCCCCTGGCTGAAACCTATCTACACCTAAGAACAAAAATGTAATAGGTTGCAGCTTACCAGATGTGGTGGCTGCATTCGTTTTCTCAATTCTGGATTTTTTAAATCTTATTTTGACCTGGTTATCCTGTCAGTGACACACTTCCTGTCCTAGGATGGCAATGCTTATTCACTGTACTGTATCTACGGAGGAGCAGCATTGTTACCCTAGGGCAGTAGTATGAAACCAGCGGCTCTCCAGCTGTTGCAGGACTACAAGTTCCATCATGCCTCTGCAAGTCATAGTTGTAACTGTTAGTTTTGTAATGTTGCAATACCTCATGGGAAATGTAGTTCCACAACAGCTAGTGAGCCGCAGGTTGCCTACCCCTTCCCTAGGGCATAAGGTGTGTTAGGAATACAGAGCCCCTCTCCCTCTCTTTATCTTCATACCATCTGGGACAGTTCTGTAATTAGTAGAGTTGTGAACTGGGCTGATATTACTTAAAGCAGAGCTCCAGTCACCCATGTAAAAAAAAAACTGTAGCTCCTGACTTTTAATAAACAGCCATTCACTTGTCCTGCGTTCCAGTGCTGTGCTTGGCCCAGTATCACAGCTGAATGCCCACTGCGCATGTGCGAGCAGCGATGCGCATTGTGAATGGAGGGAGGGAAGGAAAACTTCTGCTTATGATCACCTAGGCAGTCAGAGTGGCAGTAGGAGCAGGTACCTGTCAAAGTTGTTTTTCCATGGATGGCTGATTTTACTGGTCATATTCAACACACGTTCAATGCACCATGTAAATGAGGAATATTCAGTATGAAGAGCATATCCAGTTCTATATCCTCCTAATCTAGTTCTATATCTATATCTGTTTGGCTAGAGCTATGTATAGCATTCATATAATACAAATATTTTGCAGTTGCAAAACACTTACTATACAGTTCAGCTTAAAGTGTAAGTTCACCTTTCCATAAAAATGGACACTCTACCCATTATACTTATCTCAATGGGTAATGAGCTGTCAGTGCCCATGCAGCTGATGAAGCGGTCCTGGAATTTGAAATCCCAACTCTTCTCCCCCTTCTTTCTGCAGGGCTTCCTGGACGGATCAGAGTGATTCTGTTTGGTCAGCACCAGCACAGAGAATCACTCCAATCAGGGGCGGACTGACAACTCATGGGTCCCCGGGCAATAGGGGATCAAGGGGCCCCTGTGTCCTTGCCCAAACTCAGAAAAAGGTACTAGGGGCACCTCATGGGGCCCCCTACTGACCCCGGGACCTCGGACAGTGCCGAATTTCCAAATGGTCAGTCCGCCCCGACTCCAATCCATCTCGGAAGCCTTGCAGAAAGAAGATGGAGAAGAGCGGGAATTTAAAATCCGCTACACCAGCTGCATGGGCACTGACAGCCCATGGAGGTTCAGTACAACAGGGACTTGTTCGGTACAACAGGGGGTGAGGAGGGTGTTCATTGACATTTTAATTTTTTTCTGAAAAGGTGAACTAACCCTTTAAAGGTATGGACTAAAGTGAAAGATGTAGTGATCTATGCATACTGGCAAAAAGAGGTTTCTTTTCAGACGCTTCTTAGCTGTAGACTGCAGCCATTTATCTCTATGATAAATATAGGCTGTGATGCTCATATTGGGTATGTTAACATACAGAAAAGCATTCTTATGCAGTCCAAAGTTTAAAAACCCTTTTGAAAAAATGAATGGAGCTGATAGACTCACACTGTGAAATCCAGACTTAATCCAACCTGCTACAATAGCAGCCCTTCTCGCAGTGATCCCCATAAAGTATACAACTGTGATGTAGGCATAAGGAAAATGAAGAGGAGGATTGTTTTTTTTTCATTAAGTAATAGTATAACAGGCAGAGCAGTAGGTGTTCTCCACAGCAAGCGTTCATGTTGCAGTACACTTACAGTATATATTGTATTCATCTAGTTCTCCAAGTTAGCAGTTCTTATTATTTTAGTTTTGCCTCTTACGTTATACAACTAATTTTAGGGGCGCCTACTTTTTTTTTGAGCATGCATTACTTTCTGTATTTATCATACATAAACTGGCCAAATAAAAACATCTACAGTATTTCATCTTTTTCAAAGGAGCTTGGTTTTGCTGAAAAGGTGTAGACATGTCCAGTTCGTTTTGTTCCAAATTGAAATTTGGGGACATTTGTTTGTTATTTGGAGATTGTGTATCCAAATTCTGAATTACAATATTAACAAATTTAAACAAATTAAATATAACAAAACGAAATTCCATCTGAAACTCAAATTGAATTCAAATTCAAAATCAAATTTGAAAACAAGAATAGAATAAAATAGAATAGAAAATAAAGGAATAGAATAGAACATAAAATAATAAAATGGAAAATAATTGAATAGCAAAAGCAATAGAATAGAATAAAATATTACCGTCTTTCAAAATTTGAATTTCAAATAGAATAAATTTGAATTCAAATAGAATAGATTAGAAGCTAATAGAATAGAAAAGAATAAAATAGAAAAGAATAGAACAGGAAAAAAATGAATAGAATAGAATAAAAGAAAATAGAATGTAAACGTCTTCCGAAATCCAAATTTCAAATAGAATATAATATAATATTATATGGAATATAATAGAATAGAAAAGAATAAAATAGAAAAGAATAGAACAGAAAATAAAAGAATAGAATAAAACAAAATAGAAAGAATATAAACGTCTTCTGAAATCCAAATTTCAAATAGAATACATTTGAATTAGAATAGAATAAGTTAGAATAGAATTGAAAACAAATGAGTACAATAGAAAAGAACAGAATATAATAGAAAATAATAGAAAATAAAAGAATAGGAAAGACTAGAATAGAATAGGAAAAACAATAGACTAGAATAGAATAAAATAAAAAAAATATAACCATGTTACGAAATTCGAATTTCAAATAGAATAAATTTGAAATTGAATGGCTATTCGAATTTTCCTAATTCGGTTGAAGTGAATTCAATGTCACCGTATCAAAATTTTGATTAAATTAAACTAAATAAAACGAATTCTGATAATGAATTAAACAAATTTACATTAAATTATTTAAATAACAAAACAAAGCAAATTGTTTCCTTCTGCACATGTCTAAAGAGGTGCTTCCTAAATTTACACTCTCACAATTTTAAAGCCATGTAGAGTTTCATGCTCTGAAATTGTTAAGTAAACACACAACCAGAGGAGACCAATGTGCTCCCCTGACAGGTACTGCAAACATTCCACAGTTTATCAGGGAGAATCCACTAGCATGAAAAAGCTGTAGGGTTACTGATTGGAGAGGGAGTGAACAGGATGTTCAGGTCATTTAGACTGAGCAGTCCATGTTCAAATTGCACTGACTGCAAAATTCCAGATTTAATAACTTCTAAGTACCTACACAGTTTGGAATCAGGAAGCGCTTAATTCAGACCTACTCATTCAGCACGTGCAGGCCCAGACTTGCCATAGGGCACACTGACAATTGCCTGGTGGGCCGAGGGTCGCATGTCCTAACAAGACAGCAGCATGTAGAGAAACCGATCGCCTGCAGCTGCTGAAAGCCTGCTTTTCCTCCTCTCTCTCCCACAGGCATTCAGCAACTGCAGGAGGGAAATGGAGGGGATTGGTTTCTCTATATGCTGCCCCTCCCATCCGTGTCCTGCTGCCCCACTGTGATCTCTCTGCCCCGCCGTGTGATCTCCCTGCCCCTCTGTGTGATCTCTCTGCCCCGCTGTGTGATCTCCCGGCCCCTCTGTGTGATCTCCCGGCCCCTCTGTGTGATCTCCCGGCCCCTCTGTGTGATCTCTCCCGGCCCCGCTGTGTGATCTCCCGGCCCCGCTGTGTGATCTCCCTGCCCCGCTGTGTGATCTCCCTGCCCCTCTGTGTAATCTCTCAGCCCCGCTGTGTGATCTCCCAGTCCCTCTGTGTGATCTCTCAGCCCCGCTGTGTGATCTCCCTGCCCCTCTGTGTGATCTCTCAGCCCAGCTGTGTGATCTCCCAGCCCCACTGTGTGATCTCCCGGCCCAGCTGTATGATCTCTTAGCCTCACTGTGATCTCTCTGCCCCGCTGTGTGATCTCCCTGCCCCTCTGTGTGATCTCCCTGCCCCACTCTGTGATCTTCTGGCCCCTCTGTGTGATCTCTCAGCCGTGCTGTGTGATCTCCTGGCCCCTCTGTGTGATCTCTCTGACCCACTGTGTGATCTCCCAGCCTCTCTGTGTGATCTCTCTGCCCCGCTGTCTGATCTCCCAGCCCCACTGTGTGATCTCCCGGCCCAGCTGTATGATCTCTTAGCCTCACTGTGATCTCTCTGCCCCGCTGTGTGATCTCCCTGCCCCTCTGTGTGATCTCTCTGCCCCACTGTGTGATCTCCCAGCCCGCTGTATGATCTCTTAGCCTCACTGTGATCTCTCTGCCCCTCTTAATGTTTTTTTTTTTTTCCTAGTTGAGATATACTAAACTGTTTACTATGCTTCAGGTTGTGAATGGACGGGAGCTCTATAGAGAGCCATTCATCCTATTTAGCTGAGGCTGCAGAGAAGGAGATTGAGGGCTGTCTTCAATCTCCTTTTACTGCCTCAAAAAAGAAATATCAGAAGTTTGTTTAGTGGGGAACCTAAAAAATTTAGCAAAAAAAAAAAAAATTGTAAAAAATAATAAAAAATAAAATAACAAAAATAAGCAACTACTGATACTAGTGGTGGAACTACCAGGGTTACAAAGGTTGCACTTGCCGCCAGGCCCTGCTGTTCCACCAGAGGGAACTCTGATGGAAGGGCCTCAGGCTCAGAGGGAAGGGCCCTGGCCGGGGGTCAGGGAGGCCCTTCATTGTTTCTTGCACCATAGCCCTGAAGGTTCTAGGTATGCAAAGAGCTATCCTAACATCACTGGAGGAATCCTCCCTTACCAGGAACAACCCCCGCTCACTCCCTGCTATTCCCTCTCCTATTGGCTAATCCAAATGCAGCCTGGAATGTTGGCAATTTGCCAGTGTTCATGAACGGGTCCTGGGAACCCCAAGGCTGGGCTGTAGTGTGCTGCAGGTAGAAGGAGTGAATGGGGCAGCATCATGAGGGAGGGGAGGAGGAGGGGAGATGCAGATGATGACCAAGACTGAGAGGTGAGAATGAGAGGATGGCGGCTGTGTGATTTACAATGATCATTCTGTACACACATCCCGGCTGCTGCTGTAATAGTGAGCAGTGTACCATATATCAGCATGACATCTACATGCAGCAATCAGCCCACACAGCTCCAATATTAAAGTGGTTGTAAAAGCTTTTTTCTCTTCATGTATTCTATGCATGAAGGTAAAAAACCTTCTGTGTGCAGCAGCTCCCCCAGCCCCCTCAATACTTACCTGAGCCTCATCGCGATCCAGCAATGTGCACAACAGCCTCGGCTGTTTCGGGTCTCTGCCTCCTCATTGGCTGTGACAGCAAGTGGGAACCACTGGTTCTCGCTGCTGTCAATCACAGTCAGTCAGCCAACAAGGAGAGAGAGGGCGGGGCCAAGCCACAGCTCCATGTGTGAATGGACACATGGAGCAGCGGTTGCTCCCATAGCAAACTGCTTGCTGTGGGGGCACCCGACAGACAGGAGAGCCTGTGGAGGACCCAAAAAAAGGAGGATCTAAGCTGCTATGTGCAAAACCACTGTACACAGTAGGTAAGTATAGACAAGTATACAAAGTATACAGTGTGTCTGTTGTGTAAGAGTCCAGAGGAGGTAATATATAGCACAGTGTACACAGTGCAGAGTTCAGAGGAAATAATATACAGCTCGGGGTACACAGTGCAGGGGTCCTGACTATGTACAGCAAACCAAACCACAGAGGCCAGCTGTATATAACATATGAAATAGTGTGCAGTCTGTTATACAGAGTACAGGTGTCTGGAGTATGTAAAGTGCAGCATATTCTACAGAGTGCGAGGGTCTGGGGTAAGTAATGCACAGCAAGTTCTACAGAGTGAGAGGGTTTGGGGTATGTAATGTACAGCATGTTCTACAGAGTGTGGGGGTCTGAGGTATGTAATGTACAGCATGTTCTACAGAGTGTGGGGGTCTGGAGTATGTAATGTACAGCATGTTCTACAGAGTGTGGGGGTCTGGGGTATGTAATGTACAGCATGTGCTACAGAGTGTGGGGGTCTGAGGCATGTAATGTACAGCATGTTCTACAGAGTGTGGGGGTCTGGAGTATGTAATGTACAGCATGTTCTACAGAGTGTGGGGGTCTGGGGTATGTAATGTACAGCATGTGCTACAGAGTGTGGGGGTCTGGGGTATGTAATGTACAGCATGTTCTACAGAGTGTGGTGGTCTGGAGTATGTAATGTACAGCATGTTCTACAGAGTGTGGGGGTCTGGAGTATGTAATGTACAGCATGTTCTACAGAGTGTAGGGGTCTGGAGTATGTAATGTACAACATGTTCTACAGAGTGTGGGGGTCTGGAGTATGTAATGTACAGCATGTTCTACAGAATGTGGGGGTCTGGAGTATGTAATGTAGTGCATTGGTCCAGGGTATGTAACATACATCACAGAGTAAGGTAATCATTGGAAACGTTCCCCATTACATTGGTTTTCAATAACGATGTACTCCGTTATGTTGGTGGTCAGAAGAAAAAGGCCCCTTTACAGTGACAGTATCCTATATTTACATAATTACAAAAAATTGATTAATTACAGTGACTAAAGCAGGCTAAATATAACTAAAAGAGATTGAGAAACCTCTAGCTTCATTATTTGTAATTTGGTTTAAAAGAAAAATGGGCTGCTCAGTCTAAAATGCCTGGGCCTTTTTTTCGTCCTAGTCTGAGCCTGATCACGTGAAACTAGTTTGATGTCCAGTCACAGGATCACTTTAAGGTTGGGACACAAAGCTTCATTTCTACATGTATGGTATGATATACAGTATCTTCAATAAGAAATATGCCTACCTCCATGCTCTTGAACTCATTGTCATATCCATGGTTTCCTCCTCCACAGAAAGTATAGGTGTTGTCACTGTTTGACAATAAAGAAGAAAATTATCATCTCCTTCACTGTAAATGTTTATGAGTGTCAATCCATTTTTCAAGACTACAATTCTCTTTTCCTTAAAAGTAATTCTGCAGGTCAAAAGGAAATCTGAGACTATGGTTAGGAGTATTGTACGCCTTTTTATCTACATCCCTGTGGACCTCTATAAGTATTACAAACACATTAATAATTACAACAAATAATGATTGTTACTATCCATAGAAAAAATGTGCATATACTATACCGTACAACAAGCCATTGTCTGTCCACATAGAGGTTAACTTTGTCAATACGTATATGGTTGGCATAGTGAAATCGTTTAGGTAGGTCCTGCTTCAAGTAAGGCTTAAAATGCATGTCCGGTTTGCGGCACTGTCAAAATATAGCAAATCATAAATTACAAATTATGACTCACTGCCTGTTTATTGGACTTCCTCAGTTCAAGAGTAGAAAGTCCTGATAGCCAGCCCCCGATTGATCTTCTGTGCACTATTGCATGACATACTGCTAAAAGTCATTTTATTTTTTAATTATATTAGCTGGTTGAATACATTTCTATCAATAATTATGGTTCCCTAAAACTCTGATACTGCCTATACACAGCCTTTCTCAACCAGGGCGCCCAGGCACCCTGGGGTGCCTTCAGGCTTCTTCAGGGGTGCCTTGGCAAAATGCCCAAAAATTGTATACAAGCCAGCAGGTGGATCAATCCTGCCTTTTAGTACACAAAATTACAGGTTTCACTTTTATGACCTTCTATCTTCCAGCATCCTAACAACCAATGACACCAGTTGATAAGGACCTTGGGTGCATGCACATCATCCTTGTTTGGCCCTCTCCTGCCCTCTCTGGCAGCACTGGGGTCACATTAGCAGAGCAAGCGAGAGAAAATGAGAGAGACACACTAGAATACTAGTCAGTACCAGTGTGCAAAGGTGTATTTGCTTTGGAAGAATAAATCACCTCTAACGTTTGGTGTACTGGATGTGTGTAGAATAGTTTTTTACATTTTAGATTGGGGTGCCTTGAGATTGTGCAGATTTTCAAAGGGTGCCTTCAGATTATCCATAATTTTAAAGGGTGCCTTGACTGAAAAAAGGTTGAGAAACACTGGCCTATAACATAGGGATTACATGATGAAACTGTAGAAACAGTGTAAAATAAGTTATCTTCTAATTTACTAAGCCTAATGTGCTAGTTTTCCTCCTTTGCAATGGAAACATTTACCAATAACCTTTTGATAATTTATTCCAACATCTCTTATTTCTGGCATATTTGTATTCTTTCATGGGTGATTTACTAATGGAGGACAGAAAGCAATCCCTTGCTTGTTCTAACATACAGTAGATATAAAACCAATTATTAAAAAGAAAATAAGCTTCAATGTGTAAATATATTTAAAAAGTTATTTTCAAGATTTTTAAAATTTCAGATGTCTTTAAAATACCTGGTGATCCTGCCAGTAGATCGGCAGCACGTTACTAATGAGAAATGGTTGACTGTGGTCTGGGACGAGTGGCAGTTCTATGGGAACCACCAGCCGGTCCCCAGTGTAGGCCCCCCCCTCCTTTACCTTCTCCACAGTGACTGGTTGTTCCAGGGTCCTAACAACCAATGATATCACAAACATGCAATGTCCTCAGCAAGTGGAACTTCCTCTATCCAGACCTGCAGCCTGCTCTGTCTTCCTGCTCTTGCCCTCTGCCTGGTGCTAAAGGTATATGGGCACTCTGAAAGGGAAAGCTAATGTTAAGGTGCACTGTGATGTCAGGACTACTGATGTAAGGGGAATTTTGATGGGGAGACGTGCTGTAAAAAGAGAATTCTCATAGGGACACCAGATGTAAGGGGGTACTCTGATGGGGACACCTGATGTATGGGAGCACTCTGATGGAGACATATGATGTAAGGGAACACTTTGATGGGGAAACCTGATGTAAGAGAGCACTCTAATGGGGAAACCTGATGTAGGAGAGCACTTTAATGGGGAAATCCGATGTAAGAGAGCACTCTAATGGGGGAACCTAATGTAAGAGAGCACTCTAATGGGGAAACCTGATGTAGGAGAGCACTCTAATGGGGAAATCTGATGTAAGAGAGCACTCTAATGGGGGAACCTGATGTAAGAGAGCACTTTAATGGGGAAGCCTGATGTAAGAAAGCATTCTAATGTGGAAACCTGATATAAGAGAGCATTCTGATGAGGACACCTAATGTAAGGAAGCACTCTGATGGGGAAAATTAATATAAGTGAGCACTCTGATAGCGACAATTAACTGCTTGCCCACTGCCCTATAGTAGAACTACTGCTACAGGGCAGTAGGGCTGTGCAAAATCACGTGTATATAACAGTGATCTGCATTTCCAGGTAGGGGGCGCGTGCTGCCCTACCCGCGCTGCCATTGGCGGCTACGGATGTCAATTACCGGGTCCTGGCCAACCGGCGATCGCAGAGTAAAATTGACAGGGGAGAGACCTGTGTGTAAACAACACCGGTCTCTCTCCTGCCAGCAAGAGCGTGCTGCTGTGTATTTCTCTGCACAGAAGAGAAATACACAGCAGCATGTTTGCCTAGTGAAACACACACAGCATATGATGTAAAACAGCACACAGTTAACCCTTTGATCGCCCCAGATGTTAACCCCTTCCTGCCCAGTGTCATTATACAGTGTCAGTGCTTTTTATTAGCACTGATCACTGTATTAGTATCATTGGGATGTCAGTGGCAGTTAGTTTCCACCCAGTGTCAGAATGCTCTCTGCAGTCCCGCTGTAAGTCGCTGATCGCCTCCATTACTAGTATAACAAAAATAAAAATTCCAGTATATATATATATATATATATATATATATAATATATATATACCGCCATTTGTAGACGCTATAACTTTCATGTAAACCCATTAATTTACATGTATTGGGGTTTTTTTTTATCAAGGACATGTAGCAGAATACATTTTGGAATTTATGAAGAAATTAGATTTTTATAATTTTTTTTACTGGATATGTTTTATAGTAAAAAGTCAAAAATATTGTTTTTGTTTCAAAATTGTCGGTCTTTTTTTGCAAATAGCGCAAAAAAATAAAAACCACAGAGGTGATCAAATACCACTGAAAGAAACCTCCTAGATTGTAAGCTCGAAAGAGCAGGGCCCTCAATCCCCTCATGTTTTGCATTGTATTGGTATTGTTCTGTCACATGTTCTGTCCCCCTTTGTACTGTACAGCGCTGAGCGAACTATCGGCGCTTTATGAATACTGTATAATAATAATAATTTGTGGGGATAAAAAGGACATAAATCTCATTTATGTACAGCATTGCATGGCAGCACAATTGTCAGTTAAAGTAATGCAGCGCTGTATCGCAAAATAATGGCCTGGTCAGGAAGGGGGGTAAATCCTTTGGAGGGCAAGGAGCACTCTGATGGGGACACCTGATATAAGGAGGCCCTCTGATGGGGACACTCTGAAAATTGACAATTAATTTTTTTTAAATGTTATGGAAATTGCACATTGCTTAGTTTTTGATAGACATAAAATGACTAAATATATACTAGGGTCATTTTGAAAAAATCCATTTTGACTTCAGCCTATGCAGAAATTGCAACTAGTTAAGGCAAATATGGGCTATGTAAAAAATTTTTTATTGAATCACCCTGTTTATTTCAAAATGTGCTGTGAATCTTTAGAAACACTTTAGAATCCTTAGCAAATGTCTTTTGGTACTAACATACCAAAGTTAAGCTAATAAGGAAATTGTCAGTCATGACTAAAATGTTAATGTCATTGGCAGTATATTCTCCGGAGATATCTTTGATATTTTGCAATAAATAGCTGCAGTTGCTACAATCTGTTCCCTAAATGTTCCATGGGATGTTGTACATTACCATTTTAAATTAGAATCATAGACAAAAAAAATAGAGTCATGCACGCATTGTTTTGTACTCACAATGTAGGCTGGCTACACGCACAAATAGATTTTTTTTTTCGTTCAGCTTGCAGATTCCACCATACATACTATACAGCACATAAGGAGAAATCTCCAGCTTTGTTTCTTGACAGCTGGCATCACTTTCTAAATCTGCCTGGATGCAACCACTTTTGAATAAAAATGTTCTATCTGGCAGTGTCAGAGACTAAGAATGTCCCTCTTCCTGCTTTATATACATGTGGAATATTTAAAAACTGACCATACTATGCATTAGAGCACAGCATGGTCTGTTCACTAGCTGTGCTGAGAACTATTTGTGCTCTCTAATGACAAGATGTCTACTGACACCCCCTCCCCCCTGCACAGTCATTCACTTAAAATATCAGTGTGATGCTGTTTCTCCCTCCCCCAGCTCTTATGCAGTTGAGAGCAGAAGGAAAGTGATCACTTATAAAAAAAAGGGAAAAAAGTATATATAATGTTTTTATATCTTTACACAAATATTTTACCTTTCATTTCTATTTTAAACGGTATGGGTTGTTTTAGAATGTTTATATACTGTATACTTTAAGGTCCCAGAATGCCTAAGTATCAAGGCCACTTGACATCTGGTACAGAAAACAAATTAAACATAAAATGTATGTAAAGTCAAGAAGAATAAAAAAGAGGAGATGAAACCTTATTATTATAGAGGGCTGTCATGAAATCATCCAGGACTTCTGCAGCTTTTTATTGACAGGGAGGAAAGCTCTGTATGACGTGCTGAGGAGGAGGACTGGACACACACAGATCCTAATTATGTGCCTGTTTTGGTGACTTCATAAACAGTGTGTTTTTTCACTTTTCAAAGAATTTAAATGAGTTTTTTGTTAAGCTTAATTCTGTCTTTAGATTTTGATAAAGTAACACTTTATATTGTAATATGTCAGTACCCTACCAATTCTTTTAAAAATAATTAATAATTTCAGTTTTGATACCGATATTCACAATATAAAGGTTTTATTGTGTAGATTCATTATTAACCCCGCACTAATCACCAAAACAATCAGCTCTGTTTGCTCTCCCTCCCCCCCACTTGGTCTTTTGATCCCTAATGACCAAGCAGCTCCAACTCATAAAGCACATTTGTGCTGCCACAGCAACCTGTCTTTTGCCTTGGTTATTGTACTTGGTATGTTCTTCTGCTCCCCCTTTATGTTTTATGCTAGTCAATACAGTTCCTACTTAAACATCCCGCTGCTGTTCTCTCTGCTTCCAATATTTCCAGTTCATTGCAGAGACAGGCCTTAGGAAGTCATTGTCTTCTTATACTTTAAAAAATTGTAAAAACAAAAGACATCTGTACTACACTTATCTGATGGAAAATTGCATTGGATTCAAATTACAGAGTAACGCTACCTGTGGTCACCCCCCCTCTTCCCTCATCCG